GACCTTAAACCTGTCGTTGTTTGCAACTCTGCCTTGATCGTATTTCCCCCTTTTGATCTGTTTCTTGATCCTATGTCACCTATGATTTTTCTAATTGGTTGATAAATTGGGTCAATGTCAATGTGTTTGTTGATTGCTAATTGACCTGAGTGCCAAGCTTCTAAAAATTCTCTAGTGTTCTTTGTCCTCCCCCTACCCAGTATTTCCTCATTGTTCCAATCAAATGTGTGTCCATAAATGTCAGTATGTATTGATATAAGCGAAGCGTTGTCGTGACATTCGACTGCTAACTGATGTTCACGTAAAAGGAGCTGAAGAGGTCATCCACTTTGTCCTATGAAGTGTTTTTCACCATCTGAGCAATTTATTTTGTAGATGATATTTGGTGTTTCTTCCTTTGTCATTTTGTCCTATGGTCTACATAAGATTGATTGAAGAGATTCTGTTCGTTTGCGTGCCACACATATTCCAAATGGTTTCAGTAGTCGTGCTGTATGCGCCGATATGTCTTTGATGTATGATAGGATAATCCGTTTATTGGTTCCTGTACTTGATTTCGGTTGACGCTTGTTTGATGAAATTGCGTGGACAGACGTTCTTTAGGAAGATAGTCACAAGGTGTTTTTCCTCGTTTTTTAGTGCTTCGTATGTGCTACAGTGTGTCTTTGCTCTCTTAAACAAAGTTTGTATGCAGTTGGTTTTAGGAGTTCTTCAGTTTGTTGCTACTGTAGTCGAGAATTAGGTCTGTAAAGGGTTGACTTCCAAAATACTTGAGTTTTCAGTTTTCCTGTGTCAGTTCTGGTAATCAGTACATGCAGAAATGATAGGTTGTTGTTGGATTCCTTTTCTATTGTGAATTTTATGTCATCGAAGGCGTTGTTGATCCGATGGTGAGAAGACGTAATTGATCTGAAAAATGTTATGCATTTACGCTATACATATTTCGAACAATCTAGTCACACACATACATACTTGTCAAGGCATTTTATATGAAGATTAATAAAAGGTCAATTAAGCAGAAGTTCAAATAGTAGACATAAGGTGATGATTGTAAATAAAGGAGAGAGAGAAAATTAACGTAATATGAAAAGAATAAGAAAGGGTAGGAAAATTGTCACATTATCCTACGCTTAAAGATTACCACGGTAAATTCAAGGTTGCAACAAATTGTTTCTGTACACATAAGGGGGCAGGGTTTAAATTTACGAATAGCCAAGCCCCCCCAAAAACCTCAGACTTCGTCAAAATTCTTGTGACCAGATTGTTAGAGATGCATTGCGCAAATACATCACATTTTTCAGATCAGTCAGTCAGTTGCAACGTAGAACTTCGTACGTATGTACATAAGTTCATGTTGCCATACCACATTAGCACAGAGACTCAAATGTCAATTTTTCAGATCAATTACGTCGTTTCACTGTTCTATTAAAAAGTATATCATGGATTGAAAATATAACTATGTATACATTTTAATTGGAACAGTTCACATTTCAGAAAAATCAACCAGGGCCCTTTCATGGTGTGAGCAGCTGAGAATCGACAGCCGCTATCATTCCCGTAAAAGCACCATGTTACAAACTGGTTTTTTCCTAAGATAATTTATCAAGATCGATGAAATATTTTCCATACCCTACTACTACTACTGCTACTACTATTACCACTAAATACTACTATTTTAAAATACCATACAATTGACAATTGAACTATTATATCACAAACAACACGTAAAGGTTACGCAAATCAATAATTCACTTTTGTTATAACAAGGTAAAATTAACAATCTACACGAAAAGGGAAAACATTCAATTGTTACAATGTAGGCGATAACAAAAATTAAAAAACTTGAAATTCACGAAATATCGAGTGGAATGCAGAACAAAGTGATTGTGAAGGCCAGCTAGAATGGTATACACTGCATCAACACCATACCCTACTAACTAGTCCTAGTACAAATAATAATGAATTGTTATAAAAAGTTAACCTTGTTCAATGTATCAAACAAACAAAAATTTTATACAATTCTAAGAAAAAAAAACACTGAAACACTTTTGAAATGTGTGAAATTAGAATGGCGGTTTTTTTCTTTGTTTAAATAAATTGACTATGATCAATATTCCATCTACACTACATAATCAATCAATGTTCAATAATCAATAATATTACAGTTTGAAAAAAAAACTGATCAAAATTAGTTGTTTGATTTTTTTTTTAACTTACATGATCAGAATTATTCAATGTTAAATGATGGAAATGCTCGAATTGATTGTTGGATGATTGTTTTCTCAATGATGGTGACGATGCTGACGATGATGGTGACGACGATGAAGATGAAGATGATGAAGATGATGTAAATGGTACAGTATCATAGATTGGTTCATTGTTTAAATTGTGTAGTTTATCTAAACTCAATGATTTTTGTTCAAATTTTTTGGAATCTTTTAAATAATAATCATCCGAATTTCGTAATTCCATTATTCTTGGAATTGATAATGACGAAGAATGAGGTTGAACTGACTGAAATGCGTAAAATTATTATTATTTTGAAAAGTTATTTTAAAACGACAACCATTAAGAGAAAGTGGAAAAATGTAAAATTGCATGAACTATGTAGGAGAAACAGCAAATATGACTGATGTGTTTGCGAATCGAAATGAAAATGCAATGCACATTTACATCAACGCATACACCGAGTACACACATATTAAATACGTGGCAGAAAAATTTGTTAATAGCAAACTTTGTCAATGTGTGTTAGACAACTGAATATATTTCAACAAAGTATTATACTTGGTCCACAATAAGTGTCCACATATAGATGAAGATGAAATAATCGAATGGGAATTAACATTTTCTAAGGAAAAAAACAATACATGTATATCTATATCTATCTGGTTAACAACTATTGTCAAATGTCATGGTATTGAAACTGTGTTCAGTACACATTAAATGATGATGTACAACATACAGATGCGCAACAGTGAAATGGTCTTGTTGATAGTTAGTTAAGTTTTCGTTGAGATTTTAAGGTAAGTGTATTTTACATGATGACAACTAAATGAAAACCAAGTCATATATATACCAAGCAAACAAACATTTTAGCTATCTATTATTATTGTGTATTTGGAATTTTGTGCTGAAAAATATATATTCAACTGTTTCTAAATTCAATCTGATTGGCGACTTGCTAGAATGGTATAACTTCATTTTAAACATTATCATTGTTTATGTACAGCATAAGTTCAAGTTAACATAACACATTAGTACATAGAGATGTAATTTGCATTAACGGGGGTTGTGAAGATTGGTTAAGTTACACATTTTTGAAACCATGAATCGATCAATGTTAGACCACCATTAGAAACCTGGAAGCACTCAAAGGCCGTCTCGTCCTGGTATGGGACTCCTCAGCAGTGCGCATCCACGACTCCTACACCCCGCAGGATTCGAACCCAGGACCTTCGGTATTGTAGGCGAACGCCTAACCATCGGACCACTGAACCAGCCGGTATCTAACGGTGTTAATGTCTAACTTGATCAATTTACGGAGTCTTCGGTAGACACTGTCTACAACCGAACAGGCTGAACTTCACTGATCACGTTTTCCCACTAGAACTCGGAGAAGATTCCTCACCAAGCTAGTCACTAGTTAGCACAGGTAATTTGCGCACTGCTGAGGAGTCCCATACAAGGAAGAAACGGCCGTCTAGTGCTTCCAGGTTTCTAATGGTGGTCTAACATTGATCGATTCATGGTTTCAAAAAAAGAGATGTAATTGTCAATTCAAATCCCATAGTGATAGATGCAGTAGAAGTAATGAACAGTAGTCAGAAAGGTTTAGGGTTTTAAGACCATTATTCAAGAAGTAGAATCTAGCTATATAAATTTTCAGATGATAAAGATGAGGGTTATGAGGAATTCAGATTAGAATTAGGGAGCGGATAGCACACATTTGAATCGTATGCAAAAGCTATCGAGTTTAACAAACAGTGAACAAACCAATAACACTGGAACACAACGAAACACAACGTTCTGACTGCAATAATTAAACCACAATCCAACTATCCCCTTTAAAAAGAAATAGTTGTAAAATGATTCCAAATGATTTGGCACTATTAAGAATTTATATATGTTTGGATATTCATCCAAATATCCTAAGAGAATTATTGGTCTATTCCTATTGGTTAATTCCTACTGGTCAATTTAATGGTCGTCCTAGATATCAATGTCACGTGCTCCAATGTTGTTTCTTATTGCTTGTCCTGATTATCAATGTCACTTCAAATGTTGCTTCCCATTGGTCGTCTTAACTGTCAATGTCACAGACTTCGATGCTGTTTCCTATTCGACCAAAATATATAAAAACGCATTATCTGTAACGTTTAATGACCAGGGTCAGGACCCGGTACCGGATCCCTGGTCCAGGTTCCTGATTCTCTTCTGGACTCGGACCTCGTACTTTCTGGATGCTTGTAGAATACAGGTTCTACTTCATATCAAGCTTTCTTCTTTTATTCAATCAGGGTTGGGATAATCGGATTAGAGTAGGAGGTCGTGTCACCGTATCCTCGATACTCGCTCTTGTTTTCCGACTAGGTAAACTCGTAATAGTTCAAGCATATCAAAATGACGTGTTTACGTGCAGGCGTAACAATATAGTAAAAAATTATCTTAAAATGTCTTCAAGTCCTCATCAAGTGAAACATTTTACAAGCTTCTTTATTGGTGTGTCTTGTGGACTGCAACGAATATTAATCTTCAAAAAAGTGCATCCCTTTAAATTTAATAACATATTTAACAAACTCAGTCTGTTAGTCGGTCAGTTACAACGTAGAACTTCGGATGTACGTATATCAGTTCAGGTTGCCATACTACATTAGCACAAAGACGCAATTGTCACCTCAAATCCCAATTCAGAATAAGAAGAAAGAATGCAGTTGCACCATTGTAAACGATTTTGAGCCATATCATTCAAGATCTCTAACCATCGGTTGTCTACTCTTACAAACCATGGCTCAGTCCATTTGTCAGTGACTTCATGGATTTCCGTCATGTTTTGTCTGTTCGCCCCTAACT